TACCATAACTTTTGACTCGGGTATCCAATTCAGGTAATTCTTTTTTTGATTCCACATAAATTTTCGAGATCTACGCAATGACATCTCATTTGATATATTTTATTTCTCACAACATAATTTAAATTAGGTAATCCTTCTTCCTTAGAGATTTAGAATATTTATTTAATTATTTTCTTTATTAATACAGATTTTTGAAATTGATTTTTGAGTTTAAATCACAAATCAAATCTTTATTTTGTTTTCCTTATTAATAAAAATTGTTACTTTTAATTTAAATCACAAACTAAATTTTTTTTATAATAAAAATAAAAAAAATTATTTTTTAAATTAAATCACATATCAAATCTTGATTTATTTTTTATATTAAATCACAAACGCAGAACTCAGAGGCTTCTCAGTTTAAAAATGTGACACGTGTCAACACCTGACATGTCACCAATCACGTCTAAATTGGGTTTCAATCAAGAGGCAATCACGCCTAATTTAGGTAATTTTATTTTTGAAAAACATTCATAAGCCATCATTAATTTTAGACCACGAATAATAACCCAGATACTTATAGCATTAATCATTAATTTCAAAAATAATATCCTTCCTCCTTAGAGATTTAAAATATTTATTTAATTATTTTCTTTATTTAACAGATTTTTCAAATTGATTTTTTAGTTTAAATCACAAATCAAATCTTTATTTTGTTTTCCTTATTAATAATAATTTTTATTTTTAATTTTAATTTAAATCACAAACCAAATTTTTGTTATAATAAAAAAAAGTATTATAAAAAAAAATAAATCACAAATCAAAATTTTATTTATTTTTTTATATTAAATCACAAACCCAGAACTCAGAGGCTTCTTGGTTTAACCGCTCTTATAATACCATTATTGTAAATTAAAATTGTGTTTTTGAGAAATTAAATATATCAAATGAGATGTCATTGCGTAGATCTCGAAAAGTTATGTGGAATCAAAAAATGAATTACCTGAATTTGATACCCGAATCAAAAGTTATGGCTTTCAGAAGTTTTATGATTAAATTATTATTTTTTTTGAAAAAAGAATGACACGTGTCAACCTTAGGTGAGAGACGCCCCATTGGAACGTCTTCCCTCAGATGAGAGACGACTAAATGAGCGTCACATTATACAATAGATCCGTAATTATTTCCAAAACTGTAATAAATACGTAATTATTTAATTAAAATGAAATAATTAAATTTTCCTTAGGATAAGAACGAAGTTATGGTTCAGGATCCATATGGCTATCTTTGGCTCTTCGGTCCCTTACAAGGAGTTTAGCGAAGTTGTTGGCCCATGATGATCATCATGGGCTTTTGTTTTTATTCAGTTTTTCGTAGATCTTTTTACTAGGAGTATAGCGAAGTTGTTGGCCCATGATGATGGGCTTTTGTTTTTATTCAGTTTTTCGTAGATCTTTTTACTAGGAGTTTAGCGAAGTTGTTGATGGGCTTTTGTTTTTATTCAGTTTATCGTAGATCTTTTTACTATTTGTCAAATAAAATACAAGTCAGTTGTTTTTTAACTTTTTATTATTGATATGCTGTATTATTTAGTAATAATGTTGTTTTTTTATGGAGGAAAAGTGTGTATCATTTTAAAGGATGTAAAGTTGTGTATTTTAAGTGAGAGAAAGAGATAGATAAAGGAGAATAGAGAATTGACAAAAAAATATAAAGATGTGGGTCCTACCTCTTTGTGAGAGTGAAAGGATATAAATTATGTCATTTTTCTTTGATAAACATAAGTTGTGTCATTTAAGAGGATAAATAATTTTTTTTTTTTATGGTATTATTGTTTTTAAATGGTCCAAAACATTGTTGGTTGTTAAAATTTTTGACTATAATGTTATGTTTTACTATTTTTTTCATCAAAATTTCAAATGTTTTTATCTTTTTACTGATTTTTTTATGGGCAATGATTATCTCCTTTTATAGGAGAGAAGGAATACTTCCTACACTCACATTGAATTTTGTGTCAAATATTTTTTTATCTTTTATTATTTAAAAGGAATGGTGGCTCCACATTTTTGTTTGAGTAGGAGATAACTTATTTTTTCCTACAAAATGAGAAAAGTTTTTCTCTTTTTTTATATCACGATTTTAAGTTTTATGAATTTTTAACCCCTTCTAATTTTACTTAAAATATCAATTTTAACAACATTAATCCTAAACCATTTATATTGTTATTTGTACTTTTCTAACTGAAACTATTGTGGATCATAATCATCACTAAATTCCATGCAACACACATCCTATATGACCAAATTTTATAGCATTTATTCCAAATTAAAAAGCTTGTTTGTAAGCAATAGATTAAGAAGAAGCAGAATTTAGAAGGGAGGACAAGAAGAAATTAGAGAGAAGATTAACTGAAAATACTCGATGATTTCTTATTCTATATTAACCTCTTTAAATAGATCAGTGCAACTGATCAAAATTCCAACTAAAGATATGATAAAATCTAAATCTAAATAATTTAAATTCTAAATCTAAATAAATGATAACGAAAATAAAGCTAAAATTCTAATTTAAATGGGTCTTCTAGAAGTTATCCTTTACGTAACCCAATATGAATGGTTTTACTCGCTTGGGCCTTGCGATCCCTTATAAGTAATTGGACTTAATGTGTGGGCTTGCAGTTGATGAGTCCTTAACTTAGTTTCAGGACATGTTTTTTATTTTTCAAGTTTATTCAAAATGAAAACAAAATCTTACAAATGATATACGTGTCAACTTGTCATACTTTTGAATTAGCGGTGTTCATAAACTGATTCAAATTACGGTGACCTAATCGAAAAACAAATAACCAAATTAATTGAAAATTAAAAATAAAAAAAGCTTATTTTAATTTGATTAGATTAGTTTTTGACTTTGTTGGTGAAAACCGATCTAATCCAAATTGTTCCAATGTATTATGTATTTATTATTTTTGAAATATTGTGACTTTGAATCTTGTTTTGTAGACTTGGAATTTTAGATGTTATTGATCGTTAGCTATATTGTTTTAGTTTTTTATCGTCTATTAATCTATTTTAACTATTCACGAGTTTTAAGCAATGTTATTAAAATCAGTCCATGTTATCAAAAAAAAAAAAAAAAAAATCAGTCCAATCATTGACCCGGCCGAGGTATCGGGTCACTGGTCGAACCGCATGACTGGATGATTATATGTAAATCTATAATTTATATTAAAAAAAATTATAAACATACTCAAATAGTTGAAAAAAATAATATAAATTCTAAATATTTTAATATAAAAAATAAAAAATTATACATTATTGTTCAATAAAGGATCAAACAAACATATAATATTTGTGATATTGGTCTTTCAGTCTCAGTAAATGATATCTCTAACTATAAATCAAATCAAAATTTCTTGCATAGTGCATAACTGAGATAATATTAGTATTGTAAGTACATAATTTATGTAAGTCAATAAGGGCCTGTTTGGTACGATGTATAAGACTTGATAATATAAGCTTACACTAGACATTATGGCATATTTAGTTGTTTGGTGTGACCATCGTATAGTATAAGCTTATACATCATAATCCCTTAATACATCAAAATGATGTATAACTTAATCAATATAATTATCAAGAATTAATATATTATTTTAATATTAATATATTAAAAAATAATCATTTCTCAATACATAAATTTTTAAAATATTGGAGATTTTTATTTTTATAAAAATTAATATATTTCTATAAAAACTAATATTATCTGATATATTTGGAAGAATTATATAAATTTATTATTAAAATGTATTTTGGTCAAAAATATTTTTTTTATCCTATCTAGTATTATACAGTGTATTACCAAACATTAGATGATATTATCTTATACAATATCATGCCAAATATCGGATGGTATTATAATTTAATAAGGTCTTATACAATCAGACCTTATACTATCAGCCCTTATCCTATATTATGTACCAAACATGCCCTAAAGCCCCAAAATTGATATAACACAGGCAGTAGGGGTGTTAACGGGTCGAGCCGAGCCGAGCTTTGGTCTTAAAAGGCTAAGCCTGTGATTAAATGTGTCGGCCTTACCAAGCCTGTTACCTGTTACGAATATAATTATCGGCCTGTGGCGTGCCTTATTTACAAAAAATAAAAGTCTGATTTGGCCTGTTAGCCTGTTAGAAAAAAATAAGACAATAAAAATTTATCCAAACAGAATATACAATACACAACACTAGTAATTCCATAAATATTCATAAATTCAATGTATATCGAAACAACATAATATAGAACAAAATCATTCAAAAAGTCTGTTTAACTAATAAAATAGGAGTGAAATGGATTGAGAGGAGAGATGGCTATTACAAATAGTATAAAAAATAAAATAAAAATAAAAATTAATATACTAGGCCAGCCTGAGAGGCTCCAAGGCCGAGCTTTTGAATTGAAGCCTGAGGCCTTTTTACTAAACGAACTTTTAAACAAGTCCAGGCATGGTTCCAACAACCAATATTAGGCATGTAAGCATGAGCCTTCACGAGCCGAGCTCCTGAAAGGCCCCTGGCTCATTTATCACCCCTAAGGTAAATTCCATAAATAAGAAACAAAACATGTTGGTATGATATAATCTTTCTCTTACAAAAAAATAAATAAATTTATTATTACATTATTTAAGAAATTCACTGGTCATGGCTTAAAAAAAATATTAACTCATCATATATGAAATAAATAAATATTTGAGTAAATATCCTTTCTGATCCTCAGCAAATTTTACGATACTCGCTTTACTTCCTAACAAATAAAAAAGGGTTTCGTAATCTTAAAAAATTCAAGACCTATTAAATTTCTTAACCGAACTTAAATGGATCGACTTTAAATTCTTCAAAATGGACCAGAAACAACATTTTTATTTGCTAGTAAATAAAACCATCACAATAAAATTTGCTAGTAACGAAAAAGGTATTTAGTCAAAATATTCAATTACAAGCATTCATTTGCTTGGAGTACTAGATCTAGGAGTGGAAGCATTGCGATTTGCAGAACCAATACCCAACAAAGAGGACAAAAATGGAGTCCTCAGAAGGTGCTTCAGCGGAGATCGTTCTTCCTCTTCCTCTGGCCTCAGATTCACAGCAACCCTATGTCTCCGAACTCCTCTCCTTCACTCTTGATCGCCTTCACAAGGAACCTGAACTGCTTCGTGTCGATGCCGATAGGATTCGCCGGCAAATGCAAGAGGTCGCCGTCGGTAATTACCGATCATTTATTGCTGCCGCCGACGCCTTGCTTGCTATTCGTCAGGAAGTTTCCTCTATTGACAAGCATCTTGAATCTATGGTATTCTTTCTTTCTTTTCATTTCAATTTCCCCTCTGTGTTCGTGTAATGTCTTTTTGTTTATAGATTTGCAAATCTCATAATGAAATTCACATATAATAATTATGTTGGAAATATCATTTTGTTGCATTGAGTCAGTAATTGGTCTAGATAGTACTTTTTTAGGTGTCATAATGCAATTTGGGTTATGAGTTTGATTTTTAGGAGCTCAAGCACTATATATATGAAAAGATAGGTGGTGAAATTGGTGCGTAACAGTTTTGTTAAGTTGTCAGAACTGGAAAATTATCCTCAGTTTTATTTTACTATATTCACTTATACCTGCAAATTGATGAAGGCGCACATAAATGAAACTGTATACTAATAAGATAATTCTTAATGAACCAACAAGGCGTTTGGTGCGCGACTTTTATTTGAAAACTCGGGAAAGCATGGTAGGGGAACAAAGAATGTTGCGTATTCTGGGAAAATGGTTTTGTGTGTTAACTTTGGTACTGTTTGTCAAATTAGAGATTTATAGAATTGGTGGAATTATTGAGTGTCTGGGGAAGCCAAATTTAAAGCGCAAAAATGTTTACTAAATTGCCCCCTCAATGTATACGATCTGTTGATATAGTCTTCGAAAAAGGTAAAAGGTATGTTCGTCATTTTCATCGAATAGAGGCCAAATATAATATTTCAAACCTAACGTATGGCTAAGGTTATTTTCGTAAAATAACCTCACATTCTCACAAATATATTACAACCAACCAAACACACTCTCAGTAAATTTATTCATAATTTTCTGGGTAAATTTGATCCTACCAAACAGCATTTTAGTAACATTCCAGTAAAATATATTTCCCTCTATATTCCAGTAATAATTATTTTCTGGATTAAAAAAAATTTCTCGTGTACCAAACGCCCCCCAACAGACATGTCAGAGTGCTCGCTGTGACGGTTCCAGGTTTTTTTTAATTATGGAGAGGACAATATGGATACATATTTGCCCATGTTGCAAGCATTCTACGTGAATGTATGTTACAAGAAGGGTTTCACTTATAGAGAAGCAGCACTCTGGGATACTGAAGGACTTTGTAGCTCAATGTTACAGATTCAAGAATCTATAAAGGATAAAAGAGAGAAACTGAAAAACGAACGATAACTTTATTATTCAGATACACCTTGTGATAAACGTTGGCTCCTTATATACATCAGCCTTATTACTACTCCTGCAACTAATTCACGTAACTGAACCTAACAACTTTCCTACTTTCACGCTATTGCTTCTATCTTACAATATTCATGTGACTAATTGACGTGGCAGCTTAAGCTACAAAGTCCTTCAGTATCTCAGAGTGCTGCTTCTCTCTACGTGAAACCCTTCTTGTAACAATGTAGCTCTTTAGAAGAGTATGCAGTTGATTTCTTTGGACTTTAATTCGTAGAATATATAAAGTTCTTAGAATTGGAAGTGGGAACTACAACAACAGCCAAAGTAATATACCGTTAGGTGGGGTTCATTTCATGGATCAATTGACTGTGGTGCTGTGTCAAAAACCAAGTTCTGGAACTTCCTGGTAATTTTGTTGAAGTAAAATGTCATGATTAACAGAATTCATTCTTCTATCTCTTTATGGAATACATGATTCTTCCTTTGTGGTGATGCTGGCAGTGTGACGTAGGTCCTTGGACCAACTTTTGGTAGCTCTAGTGTTATTGTAGGAGTAAAGATAAATTTTTATGTTAATTTTGTAATCCATGCTACTATTTAGTGCATAGAGTTCTTATTTTTTAGGAACATTTCATTTGATAGCTGATTTGGGATAAGATTAGGCGATTGGCTTCAAATAAGTGCAAAGCACATGTTGTTTTTATGGAGGTATCTAATAAAACTGGACTAAAAAAGTAAAGGACGTATAGAAACGAATAGAATTTGGATGGAAAATCATTCCTCTTCCAAAAACTGAAGCAAGATGATTGCAAAACAAAGAGGAAAAGTTTAGAAACAAAAAATAGCAGAGATGATTCTCTTTCAGCTCCATGAAACTGGAGTCCTGTCTCTCCCACCCAACCTATACTCTAAATCCAGTCTAACCCTTATTATTTTCCCTTCCGCTATTTATGCCCTGCCATCTCTCCCTCTCTTTTCTAATTCAGTTATGACTTCTAACTAACTAACTGTCATTTGGGCGTTAATCTCCTTTGTCGCAGATAAATGAGATCCCAAAGTTGACATCTGGTTGCACTGCGTTCATAGAATCAGCGGAACAGATTTTGGAGAAGAGGAAGATGAACCATACAATGCTAGCCAATCACAGTACATTGCTTGACTTGCTAGAAATTCCTCAACTTATGGACACGTAAGTTAAAAGAGATAAATATTTAGTTACACTTGTTAGTTGTCAAATTTTGATGTACTAATGGTCTCACATGCCGTATGACAAACACATCATTCCTATGTTTCTGCAGATGTGTACGGAATGGGAATTATGATGAAGCCCTAGATTTGGAAGCATTTGTTGCTAAACTTTCAACAATGCATCCAAAGTAAGTTGATGCGCCTCTTTCATGCTAATTAACATGTAATTTAGCTTTGAATAGAGGTTATTTTCCCTTTAGTTTTCTAAGGAAAGGCTTACTTATAATTTATTGCTTCCTTGTTACTAAATGCTTTTCCCCTTGTGAAGGCTAACAGTTATTCAAGCATTGGCTACAGAAGTTAGGCAGACTACCCAATCACTTCTTTCTCAGCTTCTTCAGAAACTTCGCTCAAATATTCAGGTTCATATTATGATTATAAAAAATATATGAACAAATGCCACTTGATTCATCTGGAAAACTAGGTGGATATTTTCTTTCTTATTTATTTATTTATCTTCTTTTGCTAGTTACCCGAGTGCCTTCGCATTATTGGATATTTACGGAGAATAGGAGTATTTAGTGAGTATGGAATGCGTTTGCTGGTGAGTTCAATGATTTTGTTTTCCGTGCAATCTTCCTTTTCCCTTGTTGCTTGTTTTTTACCTTGAAATTTTCAGTTCGGTCGCAGCTCTGTTGTACTCTTTTTTTTCTTTTTTCTTTTTTCTCCTGCTTCCATTTGACTTAGACAGATATTTATTGTCAGTTCTTAAGATGCCGAGAGGCATGGCTTACCGCCATACTTGAAGATCTGGACCAGGCAAACCCATATGAGTACTTGAAAGGGATGATTAATTGTCATAGAATGCATCTTTTTGACGTTGTTAATCAATACCGAGCAATATTTGCTGACGACACATCAGTAAATGAGGGAAATTATGATGGTGGACTTCTTTTTAGTTGGGCTATGCACCAAATTACCTCACTCCTACAAATTCTGAAAGTTATGCTTCCAAAAATAACTGAAGGTGGATCACTGTCAAATATTTTAGATCAGTGCATGGTGAGCTTCTTTCATAATATTAATTTTTAGCAACCCTCCTCCCCATGGAAAAATAGGTAAAAAGAAAAGAAAAGAAAAAACTTAAGACTTGGCCTGCCTGCAAGTCCTACTTTGTCTGGCAAAAATGCATTTTGATATATGTTTTGACCTATGCTGCAGGAAGAACCTACATTAACATTTTTATACTTTTTTTTTTTGTTTAACAGTACTGTGCTATGGGACTTGGTTGGGTTGGACTAGATTTTCGAGGCTTGCTCCCATCACTTTTTGAGGAGTAATATATGTTCCTTTAATGATCTATTAGATTAAATTGTACTTGAAGCATTTTTGTAATATATAGGATGGTTTCTTTACAGAGCAGTTCTCAACTTATTTTCAAAAAATATGAGTACCGCAGTAGAGAATTTTCAGGTAAATTTTACATACTAGTTACCTGAAATTGATTTTATGCATTGATCATTTTCATTTACACTGACAAGTTAACTTCTGGAGACCTCTTTTTCTGTATTTTCCTCAGCAAGTTGCCTAGTTTTATGTAGTGTTTAAAAAATTGATTTGTTCTCAGTTGGTTTTGGATTCACATCGGTGGGTTCCCCTGCCAGCAGTTGGTTTTCCTGCAAATACTGTTGGTGAAGAAAGTCAGGAGGATGTCACTCCACCCTCTTATCTGATGGAGCATCCACCTCTTGCTGTTTTTATCAATGGTAAGTCTAGGTTTTCTTCTAGATTTCTTCAGGGAATTGCTTGTCCATTATCCTTTGCCTATTACACATACACACACATATATATAACTAGTGGGTTAAATGGAGATTGGAAGATATTCTGTCTCCAGAAAAACCTGAACCTGTTGTAGTAAATAAAGTGATAGAATTTAAACATGAAGCAATAGAAGCTTCCTTTGCCCCTTTAAGAACAGAATCAGTAAGATACCCTACTTAGTAAATACAACGTCATATCAATAGGCATTCCCTATTTTACAATTCCCAAAGGATTGTATTTATTAGTGTTAGAATAGGAAATATTAGATATATAGATGTGGTTTAGATTTGTATAGATGAGGGGGGATATTTTGACTACCAAAAATGTCCACTACCACCTTACTACCTATCAAATCACCATTGGATTAAAGAGAGAAAATGTTAAAAAGTTTTTGAAGAGAGAAAAAATGTTAATCCAATGGTGATTAGATAGGTAGTAAGGTGGTAGTGGAAATTTTTGGTAGTCAAAATATCCTTCCTCTGTATAGATTACTTCCATATCTGTAAATATTCTTTTCCTATTTAGTTTTTGGATTAGGTCTGGGCTTCTCACTTAAGCCCATTAGGATCTTTATATATTGTAACTCTTTGTATTAACTTAATACACAACATATTATTTTACATTCAAGTTGGTATCAAAGTTCTTTTGTTCTGGGAACCATCGCTTTCGTTTAAAAACTTTGTTTTCGCTTTAAAACCTAAGCCCACTGCTTAGGAGTCATCTTTTCTTTGCCGTGCGTCCTTCCGGCAAGCCATCTAAGGCTGTAAGCCCCTTCTGAGTGATTTCCGAACGCGTCAGAACCTCCGACCGCCATCGGAACCACCGTCCGTCACTGTTCCGGCCGCCGAAGAGGTTTTCCGGCAAGTTATCAACCCAGAAAACCTGCGATCAAGACCCTCTCCTCTCGGCGACCAGTTTTGTGGAGGTCCGACCACCATCGCGTCAGTGACGCGCCTCCACGCGCCGCCCTTCTTTTCTGCGCGTGTCACGCGCCGGTGCGTGTGCACTGTTCCGGCAGCTTTTTTCGGTCGTTCTTGGACAGAGAAGCTCGCCTCCTCCACCTCTTTCCAAATCTGTGGTTGGTTCTTTGTGGGTCTCACTTTTTGTGCGTACCTCTTCTTGATTTTCGATCAGGTTAGTTTCGATTCACTTCGTTGTATATCCTTGTGATTTATTACAATGGCAGCATCTTCTCCTGCTGATTCGGAGATCAGTTCTCCCTCTCGTCCTGCCAAAAGTTCCCCTAATATCATCTCCACCAATGTTGGGCCCATTACCTCTTCAAAGCTGAAGGTTCTGTTAATTACAAGAATTGGGCCACCTCTGTTCGAGTTTGGTTCTTTGGACAAGGACATGGGAACCATCTCACAACTAAATCTACTGATATTCCTAAGGAAGAAAAATCTGATTGGGAAAGGATTGACAACCAGCTTCTAAGTATCCTTTGGCAGTCTATTGATCCAGTCGTCTTGGATATTTTCTATTTTTTTCAAACATGCAATGAAGTGTGGGAGGAAGCAAAACACCTCTACACTAATGATGTTCAGCAGCTCTATTCTATCATGTCTCAGTTTATGGATCTACGCAAATCATCTGACACCCAGATGGAGACATATATTGGCAAAAGTCGATCTCTGATGCAGGCATATTTGGATATGTTGCCTTACCCTAATGATGCTTCTGCATATCAGAAACAGGTGGAACGTCTCTTTATGGTTGCCACACTTTTTGGTCTTCCCGAAGAATATGATAATGTCGGGATACTATCTTGACCAGTGGGGATCCTGATCTATCAATGATGTATCAACGTCTTCTGAACCTTAATAAGAAATTTGCTTCTGCATCATCTACTGTTGTTGATTCCATTGCTCTAGTTTCCCGTACTGACTTTCGCGGGAACATTGGCGGTGGTCGTGGTCGTGGTAGAGGCCAGGGAGGACGTGACCCAGGAGGATGTGGTCATCGACCTCGTTGTCATTATTGTTAGCAACTCGGTCATTATGAGGAATGTTGCTACACAAAGTATCCTCACCTGCAACCCTCTCATGCTGCTAATATAGCTCAATCGGATACTGCTTCAACTGGTGCAGACTCTCTCTCCTCTGAAGACTATGCAACACTCCAGATCCTTCTCAGGAAGGCCTCTCCTCAATCTCAGCCCTCTGCTTCAAAAACTGGTAATCCCGTTGCTCGTGTTTCTCATTCTGCATCACTTGGTCCTTGGATATTTGACTCAGGTGCTACTGATCACCTTTGTGTTAATAAGGAACTCTTTTTATCCCTTACCTATTCTGATAATTTACTCTCTTTTACTCTTGTTGATGGCACTAAAGCCCCTGTTCATGGGATTGGACAAATCTGTCCAACCTCCTCATTGACCTTGACATCTGTCTATTACATTCCTGACATCCCTTATAACTTAATCTCTGTTAGTAAACTGATCAACTCTCTTAATTGTATTGTCACATTCTCAAACCATTCTGTTTCTGTGCAGGATCCGGGTACGGGGAAAACGATTGGAGTGGGCCGTGAGTCACGGGGTCTGTTCTACTTGGTTGTGCTGAGTCTTTCAAAATTGCAGAAGATGGTTCCTCTTTTATCCGGTCTCCAGACTTTAGATTGTCAGTCATGTCAGCAAGGGAAGCACATACGCTCCTCCTTTGCCAATCGAGTCAATAAACGAGCTGATGCTCCTTTTTCAATTATTCATTCAGATATTTGGGGTCCTAGTCGTAGTGTGTCTGTTTTAGGATTTCGGTATTTTGTTACCTTTATTGATGATTTTTCACGTTGTACTTGGATTTATTTAATGAAAAACCGTTCTGAGTTATTTTCTATTTATCAAAAATTTTCTGCTGAAATTCATACTCAATTTGGTGATTCTATTCGTATTTTACGCAGTGATAAAGTTAAGGAATATGTTTCTATTGACTTTTCTAATTTCTTAGCCACACAGGGTACTTTACACCAAACTACTTGTCCTCACACTCCACAACAAAATGGAGTAGCTGAACGTAAAAATAGACATCTCATTGAAACTGCACGGACTCTTCTTATTCACATGCATGTTCCTCTTCACTTCTGGGCTGATGCAGTTCTTGCCTCTTGTTTTCTCATCAACCGTATGTCTTCATCTGTGCTTAATAATGACATTCCTTATAACTTGTTGCTTCCAAATGTTCCTCTCTATCCTCTATGTTCTTCCTGTTCCTTTTATTGACTTATCTTTGCCAGTTGCAGGTAACTCTATTCCAGATGAGCAACCTATTGCTTCCATACCTGAGGACCGTCCATTTCTCACCTATCAGTGTCGTAAAACTGTGTCGACTTCGTAAATCCTTATATGGTCTCAAGCAGTCTCCTCGAGCATGGTTCAGTCGCTTCAATTCTGTTGTTCAGGCTTTTGGTTTAATCCGCAGTAAAGTTGACCATTCTGTGTTTTATAGGATCACATCTCCTGATAAGTGCATCTATTTGCTAGTCTATGTTGATGACATCATTCTCACTGGAAGTGATCAAGCTGGAATTCATCAGTTAAAATAGTATTTATTCAGTCAATTTCAAACAAAGGACCTTGGGAAGCTGCGTTACTTCTTGGGAATTGAGGTGGCACAATCCAGACAGGACATTTCTATCTGTCAAATGAAGTATGCTTTAGATATCCTAGAAGAGACTGGTATGTTGGGGTGTAAACCAGTCGATACACCCATGGATCCAAATGTCAAGTTATTGCCCGAACAGGGGGAGCTGTTATCTGATCCTGGTCGTTATCGAAGGCTAATTGGGAAGCTCAATTATCTTACGGTGATTAGGCCAGACATTTGATGAAACTTAAATGGGTGCTAATAATCATGTGATGGCATAATGCTTTAATGTATGCTTTATTCCTTATTCTTCTTTGCACTATTCTAAACACTTCATCCATTTGCATTGATGTCCATTTGTTGGCTGCAGGTGTATCTGCAGCAATGAATGAGCTACGTCCGTGTGCCCCAATAAGCCTAAAACACGTCCTTGTCCGAGAATTGGTTAAGGGATTACAGGCTGTTTCTGATTCATTGTTACTGTACAACACAACTCGGGTGCTCAGAGCTAACGAATCAGGACTTTTCCTCTCACTCTGCCGGGCATTTATTGAGGTATTTTATAACTCATATACAACTTGAGTACTGTTTCTAATTGTAGCTGCTGATCTGCAGTTGTTGAGGAATTACTCTATATTCTGATTACTTTTTTTGGTATAATGGTGGTCTCGAGGTTATGATTTTATTCAAGCTACCTAAGTTCCTTACCATTAGTTCAATCCAAGTGGCTTTCTTTGTACTGATTACTGAATACCTTAAAATTCGTTCTATAGGTTGCTTATCCTCATTGTGCAAAGTGTTTTGGGCGTTGCTATACTGGTGGAGCAGCTCTTGTTATGGATGCTAAGAATGTGTATGATGGAATCAGCCGCCTGTTAGAGGCCTCCTCTGCAAGAGAACTCCCAAAACCAGTGAATAATGGAGAAGCCAAGAGCGTGGCTGAGAATGGTGTACTGCCAAAAATGGAAAATGGAGAAACATCTGATGCCAAAGAATCTGAAGCCATCAGTGTTGAAGAGGTGAACAAAGACCCTACTTCCCAGACAGATCAGGAAGACACTAATCTTGAAAAGCCGCTTGAACAGTGACATTTTAGTGATGGGCAAAGTGTATTCTTTTTTCCTTCTAAATATTGCTCCCTGTTTCAGTGTTTTTATTTTATTTTGGGGGGGCCTGTTTTATTCTTTGTAGTTTGTATTTTCTAAGACGGATGTCGTCAGCTGTAATTATATGAATAAGTATTGATTGTTAGATGAACGGAGAAGAGAATTTTGACACACATTACTTGTACGAAGCAGGATTTTATTTTTGGGATTATTGATTAATATATCAGTTACAATGTATTTATGCACGTGTAAATATTTAGCTTCAGCCACTGCATGGATTTGTTGTGTTAGTTTTACTATTTCCGCCAATACTAGACGTTTGTATCTTGTTTAATCTTTCCAATCGCAGTATTGCAATATCCAGAAATGTCATCTTTTATGAAAATTCTTTTCCTTTCATCGCTGCATCTAATCCTTCATCTAATCCAGTTCCAGAACATACAGAAATCCCTGAACATATTCCTACCTATGATACTGATTTTTCAGCTCCCACACCTCAGCCCATTACTCCCACTACACTATATCCAATCGTTCCTCAAGATTTAATACCAGAAGTCAACCTTCAACAACCTCAAAATATCCAACTCAGACGTTCGCCCATACCTCATATTGCACTGAAATATTTGCAGGATTTTCGTGTCTCTATCAATTGCTTCTGACACCAATGCAGTCTCAGGTTCTTCTCTTTCTACTTCTTACCCACTTTTTGATGTATTATCTTATAACCAATGTTCTTTTGCCTATAAGAACTTTTGCCTCAATGTTACTTCTTGTACTGAACCAAAGTCATACTCCCAAGCTTCTAAGCACGAATGTTGGAGGAAAGCCATGCGTGATGAAGTAACAGCTCTAGAAAAAAAAAAAAAACAGACATGGTCCATTGTTGATCTCCCTCCCAATACCACACCCATTGGATTCCCAATACCACACCCATTGGATGCATGTGGGTTTATAAAGTAAAACACAAGGCAGATGGTTCAATAGAACGTTACAAGGCGAGATTGATAGCCAAAGGCTACAATCAAGTTGAAGGCTTCGACTACCTTGACACATTCTCTCCAGATGTGAAACTCACTACTGTCAGAATACTCCTCTCCATTGCCACAACGAAAGGATGGACACTATAGCAACTAGATGTGAATAATGCATTTTTACATGGAGACTTACATGAAAATGTATACATGGTACTCCCCCAAGGCTTCACTCTGAAAAATCAAATCAAGTTTGTAAACTACAACGTTCCCTATATGGCCTTAAACAAGCTAGCAGACAATGGAATGTTAAACTTACCATTTCACTCTTTTCTTCGGGATATGTTCAATCTGAAGCAGACCATTTATTGTTGGTAAGAAAACAAAATAATTCTTTCACTGCCTTCCTCATATATGTCGATGACATAGTATTAACAGGAAATAATGGAGATGAAATTCATCGTGTTAAATGTTGCGATCACGGCAAGTATACAGATCGTACAAGTAATAAAGAATGAGCAAAGTTATCGTTCCCACGAGGATTAAATATACAATCACTATTCTCATTATTTCTCTTAATTTGGACAAATCACAATGAGTTGGAAGAGTAATTTTCAATTATGAAAATTAAAATAAAGACAATTGCAATTAAAATAAACTTTAGATAAAAACTCAGAGAATTAAAATTGGATTTGAGAAATCAATGACGAAACTATAGCTATTTCACTTCCGATCCTCCTTAAATTAATTAATTCAATTTATTAATATCTTATCTAAAATTAATTCGAACAATTCATCATCTAAATTTAATTAGTTAAATCCTAATTTTTTAGAGCTTTAACCCAATTGGGACCCTAATGTCTTAGAATTTTTTTTTTTTGATTAAGCTTTAAGCACGATGAATTCCAAAGTTCGAAATTCTTACAAGCCTATATCTAGATCATGTAAAAATTGGTGTTTACCCTTATCGAGACTAAGATCCCAATATGTCTATTGTGAATCATAATCCTCTCTATTCTTAAATGAATGATCAATTCATAAAATATTTTTAACATGAAATTCAAGATAAACACAACAATTAGAGACAATTTATTAATAAAGAAATTAACTCAAAATAAGGATTCACGTCGGATCCATATCCCTAACTACAAAAGAGTTGGCTTAAACAAAACAAAAGGTTAATAGAAAATAGAAGAAATCATGGAGAGAAGAAGAATAGTTGATCTACATTGCTAAGCTTCAATCATTTCTTCAATCTACTTACCTTCTCTCTTCCTCAATTCTCTTATCTCTGCGTTCTTCCTTCGTGCGTGAAAGAATGAATCTTGTGTCCAAAAATTTTCTCTTTTATATTGAAGAGAAACTTTCCTTTAAAATCTCCAATCAAATCTGTAATTAAATCTTCAATTTAAATCTTCAACCATATTTGTGATTAAAAAATTAAAATTAATTTAAATTTGAAGATGTGGCAATAGTGGCACGTGAAAACCAAAAGTAGAAAGCTTGGAGCTTGAAGTGCTATCTTGTGGGAAGCAATGGCTCCTTTGGCGTGAACAATCAGAGGGCATTTGAGATTGGCGCTTTTAGTGCCATAATGAGAGAGAAGTTGGCGCTAAAAGTGCCACACTTGTAATCTTAAAGCACCCAGAAAGAGTTTGACTTTTGCGTTGCTTCTTGTTTCTCTTGCTATTTGAGCTTTCTAATCTTGGTATTTTTCAATCACAAAAATTCCTACAAAAAACAATAATTTCATGAAAGTATTTCTGAGAATAAATCAGCAATTAAATTACACTTTTCATGTATTTTGGCTGAATTTATAGTTATTTGCTCAATTTGGCCCTTAATACATAGTGGATTAAGGGCTTATCAACAATTCTTAGGTTTGGAGATTGTTGTCCTCGGCAATAAACAAGAATAAACAATATGAAGCACGAAGTTTACCTTGAGAGATAAATACATGAAATTCAAGCATAACATTGCCTCAAACCAGTAGTTTAGAGCATATGCTCATGAGAATACTATGCTAAGCATAAGTGACTTCCGATTTTTTAGAACTTTCAATAATAATTTCAATTTTTAGTAGGAATAGAATATAACTTTAGTACCCCTTACTAAATAATTAATACACTCATTACTCAAGTGTTTGGGGTAAGATCACTCAATTCATCAGTGTAATAGCAATACTATAGGTTTTATCCTATTCTCAAGTTCCTAAAGATGAGGAACATAGACAACATGTACAAATTGATTAAAATGTCTTTTTGAGGTTGTAACACGACCTGTTATGAGGGTAAAAATATTTGGGAAGTAGCTAAATTTCTTATATGAGATTGAAACACATTATCCAATATAAAATCAGTCAATTCAGATACATTCTTTCACTACCTTTTCTCTTTTCTAACTTCATACTTTTCTCATTTCCACCACTTTCTTATTTTCTTAATTGCAGCATCTTTAGAAACTTAATAAAAAAAATAAAAATTGCGTTTTCTTCCTTACTTTGCAGCTTTATTTTATATTTTTCTTCCTCACTCTGAGCACTTTTCCCCTCTTCTCATTACTTAACACTATTCATAATAGTTTCACCTTAAAATTTTGATAAGTTTTTCAATCTCATTCAAAGGTGGGACATTTAAAGATAAGGATTAAGTAACAAGGTGGGTAAATAAAAGAAAAATAAGTCTTAGGCTCAAAGGGATTAGCAATGGAAAATTTATCAGGTGCTCTATTTGAAGAAGTGGTTATATAGAATAAAATGTCCTTGTCTTCCCAATCTATGCATGCAGCAAGAGAGAAATAGAACAAGTTCTAGAGTTCTACTAAAGAAAGGTCTCTCAAGAAGAAATTTAAATTGTTTAGACTCAAACCTCGCATGTTGTGGAACCAAACTAGAATACTATCCTTATTTTCCAATCAAAATATCATCCAAAAATTCTCCAAGGGAAATCATTCAAACGAGAAATCATATTCTCCAAAATGAGATTCAATGCAATGTTATGACAAAAAAATCATTGTGAATTCTCACAAAGTCACTTGTGCCTCCTAGAGTCTATTCAGATTTATTAACCAACTTAGCTCATACTAACTTGGAAAAACATTCAGCAACCAATAGAATAAGAAAAGAAAACTAAAAAAAAATAAAAAAAATCAAAAGAATTGAGTTATCTCCCAAATATTTGAAAATTCCTATTGAGTGTGTCTATTCCTCAGTCAAAACACGTACTCAGAATACAATATACATCAAACAAAATAGCATGATAATATCGACAGGAAGTATCAAAATGTGAGTTACATCTCAATACAGTACCAAAATAAAGTAAAAGAAACTAAAAGTCTAGAAAAAGTAAAGACAAAAGAGATAGTGGTGAAGTGGTAGGTCCTTAGTCATGGGTCTGCTCATAATCAACTGAAATGTCCTCTGCTGCTGTCTAATCGGCTGCCACTCCTGCAATTGGTACCAAATGTGTTTCTGGCCGCCATCCAATAATGTCAATGCTCAACTTTTCACAGATGGACTCACACATCTTTGTATTATAATGTACCTGTCGCTGGAACTCGAGAATAACTGGTGAATCCGCTAGTAGTGGAGTAGAGGGTTGTCCCTGTGAAGTGCAAGGAATATCAGATGACTGTGCCGGTGGTGGATGCAAGGAACTCCTCAAAAGCACATGCTTCTTTGATTCTTCAATCCAATGTACCATATCCTCCAAGTTAATTTCAGGTTCTAACTCAATATCTGGAATGTCTTCGGAATTAATCCTAACACCTGCCCTGATGCAAAGTTGTGTGATAAGTGAACTGTGACTTAAGCGCCCCTCTTTCCTTACATTAGTGATGTTGTGGAGGATCCCATCAGAGAGGATAGCACCAATATTCAAATTGCCATCATTAAGGAGCACACTATCAATATTGCACGCTCAATGTTGACATTAGCATAATTGGTGGAAGGAAAGATGTTGCTATTAATGAAATGATGCCAAGCACGTGCATTTGCATTCAGGTCAGCTTTGTTCAACTTCTTAGGCACAGGCCGGTTTGGCTTGTATATCCATCTGGACTGTGGGTGTGCAACTTGTAATATCACTGTATTAGCTGCTGCAGAAATATGATTATCGTACAATGTCTTGGATTTGTTTTAGGCTCTGTTTGGGAGATGGTTTTAGGAGGGGAAGGGAGGGGAAGGAAAGGTTTTAGGAAATCTTCCCCTTGTTTGGGAGTTTAAAAAAAGGAGGGGAAGGATTTGAGGGTTTTTACTAAACCCTACAAAATCTCCCTTCTTCCTAAAATTTAAGTTCCTCCATTTCAAGGGGTTTAAGAGGTAAACTGTTCGAAATTACTATTTTACCCTTCCTATTAAAGTTAGAACATCTTCTCTCTCTTACCGTTTCTCTCTCTCCCTGGTTGCTTGGCTAGGGTTTCACTTTCCCTCTTTCTCGGTATGTCTCTCCCTCTCTTCTCTTCATTTTCTGATTTCGATCTCAATCGCCGATTTGGTTGCATGTTGCTAGATTTGTAATTCTGGCAAAAGTTTTTTTTACGAAATATTCAGCGGTATGGAAGCTACAACGGTAAGTTTTCTGTTTTAAGAAATGTTGAGAGATTAATACGGTAGTTCTTCTCCACGTATGTGGGTAATATGGTTATTCTTCTTCCCAAAGTTGGGTTTGTGTTTTGGAGATTGATATATGTTGCAGATTAGTCTGTGCTTATTGAGACTTTTTCAGCGAAGCCAAACTAGTATGGAATGCTTGCAAAGTTCACTATTGTTACATTACATCATTATGCAATGCTACTTTGTTATGTTGAGTTCATGCTATTAAAAAACTCTATCTTTTAAGTTTCATATATAGTAGTATCTGCTATTAAAATTTTTATTTCTTATTAAAAGTAGTTTAATCCTTTATACCCTTCAACGAAGTCTTATTTTGTATGTTGCTAGTGCTTATAGCTTTGTATTAGCATTGATTATAACCTGCCAAAATGAATCTTGGTAGTTGATATTATTTTGCCGAATGTATATATAGATTTCTCATATATTGTTGTGTTGTTTTATTATAGTTGTTGACTAAATGTTGCTATCCCTTTGGCGTGCATGGAGTTCTAGATTTTAGTGTGTTTTTTATGTATCCGTCTTTTGGCTTGGTTTTTATAATGCAAAGATTGTAATGTAATGGAGTTCTCATATATTTCTTATTATAATGCCAGAATATGGTTATTAAAAATAATTCCATACCACATTGATTTGACAAAATGTATTTTACATAGCTTGCTTGGTGTAAAATTTCCAGAAAGCTTCATTTGGACACAATCTTCATTGTTTATATGGAGAGAAAACATATGTTAGTATCACAAAATTAGACTCTACAATGAACGAGTATAGTTTTTTTTTTTTTTTTTTATTCAGGTTACACTGATTTAAGGAATTGGACAACATTACAGTTATTTTTTTATAATACCCATTAATTTTATAAATCCCCTTAATTAGCACAAACTAGTAAAACCTTGCATTGTTTATATGGATAATCCAGGAGAAAAGATGGATAATCCAGGAGAAAAGAAAAATCGTGCATTGTTTATATGGAGAGAAAGACGTCGAATGGCTATTATTCATGTCATATGCCTTGTAGTTTATTACTACATGCTTAGAATTCATTCTCAAAGTAGGATACCTGATCGTATGTTGATTTTGGAGAAGGAGAGAGCACGAGAAAAAATAATGAAGCGAGTTACTAGTAGTGAAGGTCGAAAGATAATAAGAATGGGGCCTATAGCTTTTTTGGACTTGTGTGCAATGTTAGAACGAGAAGGTGGTCTCCAATCAACCCAACGGGTAAATATAGAGGAACAAGTTGCCAAAACCCTCTATATTCTAACACATAATGTTAGAAATCGAGAGGTTCAATTCTGGTTTCGACGCTCTGGTGAGACCACTAGTCGGCATTTTCATCATGTCCTTCGATCAATAGTGGAGTTAGAAGACAAATATCTTAAACAACCAGATGGCTCACAAATTCCAATGGAAATTATGGGAAGCAACCAGTTTAACCCATTTTTTAAAGTAAAAAATTGTTTTCATATTTAGATTTAAAAACATGTTTAGTTAAAAATATATTGATGATAATAACAATAATGCCAGGATTGTGTCGGGGCAATTGATTGTACACATGTTCGTGTCAAAGTTCCATTGAATGAAGCCTCAAAATATCGTGGAAGAAAAGATTTTCCAACACAAAATGTTTTGGCTGCCTGTTCATTTGACCTAAGATTTACTTATGTTCTGCCTGGATGGGAGGGCACTGCTTCGGATTCAAGGATACTAAAAGATGCACTACGCAGAACAGATAAACTTAGAATACCTAAAGGTAATTAGTAATTTTTTTTCTATAATTTTCCTCTTGTTTCATTACATATAACTTAGCAAAAAAAATTTAATAGGTAAATATTATCTCCTTGATGCTGGATTCATGTTGAGAAAGGGGTTGATCACACCTTACAGATCAACCCGCTATCACTTGAAAGAATTTTCCTCAAGAAACCTACCTCGAACACCTTAAGAATTATTTAACCATCGCCATTCGTCCTTACGTAATGCTGTTGAAAGGGCTTTTGGGCTTTTGAAAAAAAGGTTTCCTATTATTGCTAGCGGCACAGAACCAACTTATGGAATCAAGACACAAAACAAGATTATCATAGCATGTTGCATTTTGCACAATTATTTGATGATGGTCGACCCTGATGAAGAGTTGGTTGCTGAGGTGGATGAAGAGATTTTTGACCAAAGAGTATCTGAACAACATGGAGATATCCATATAGACGAGGATGAGGATGAAGAACATACTCGTTTAGGAGAAAATTTAAGAAATTCTATTGCTGATGCTATGTGGAGAGCTTATAGATCATGATTAGGATTATTATGTACTTTTTGACTTAATGAATTGCTGTTTTGTAGTTGCGGGTGTATTATCATGAATAGATCTGTTACCCATTTTATATTGTTCTATTATTATCAATTTTGTGATTGTGAGACATTGATTCTACTTAATACTGAATTTTGCATATGCTTAATGTTCAATTGCTACATTGCTAAAATTGTATTTAGGAATCATGTCTAAGTCGAAGACTAAGCGAGAAATATGGACACAAGAGATGGATGATGCTCTTATTGATGCTTTTTTGCATCAACAGAACGATGGAAATAAAGTTAGTGGCTCCTTTACATCCAAAGCATATGAAACCATCATAAAGGAGTTGCAACAAAAATTTGGACGCTCATTTGAGAAAGAAAAGATTAAGAGTCGCTGGAAAATAGTAAAAAGACGTTTTTCCAAGTGTTATGACTTGTTCAAGAATGGGTTGAGTGGATTTGCTTGGGACCCAATTACAAAACAATGGTGCGCTGAGCCTGAAGTTTGGCAAAAGCTAATTGAGGTATATTATGAACTTTTCTTGTTTTTATCTCTTTCATGTATTTGCTTAAAAATATTTGTTCAACAATTATTATTGTATAGGCTAAGCCTGAAGCAAAAGAGTGGATGGGAAAGTCTATTCCCAATTATGACAAGTTGATGATCGTGTGTGGAGGAGACAGAGCCACTGGACAGCATGCTGAAACTGCCAAAGACATTAGAAACAAAAGGTCATTGCCTTGTGAATCTGAGTCAATAGAAACCATTGATGTGACCTTAGAGAGTGCTCAAGAGGTTGGTAATGAAAATGAAGTTACATCACTTGACGTACAAGATACTCGCAGTCAAGAGGTTAAATCTAAAAGGGCTAAAAGGTCAAAGGATGAAGAAGTTGAAGGGATACAAGTGGCACTTCAAGATATTGCTGGAGCTCTTAAAGAGGGTAATGCAGCAATCCACAACACATAATGTATCATGCACAAGCAGCTTCGGCCTATTCAACCGAGATACTAATCATATGTCTATTTGCATATACCAAATCTATTAAAGTTGAGCAATCAGAACATATAAAACCAGCAATTAAACCACACAGGTTTGTAAGAATTTGAACTTACACTATTTAGTTGCTGAGTATATCGGTCCAATGGTAATTAGAAGATACAAATTCAGTATTGTTGAATAGGTAAACATAGAAATCAACAAAATGCTGCACAAGTCCAATATCAATGTAACTCGAGTTCATGCATTGCTAATGGCAATTAGGTGCATTTAAAAGCAAGTGGGTGGTAGTTACCACCGAAGCAATAACCATATGCAATATTGAGCAATGAAAGGATAATGGTAACCAATAAAATAAGAACATTCAATGCAAATTAGCTAACCCAAATACAAGGGAAGCGATGACCAATAAAATAAAGACATTTTTAGTTAACCCAAATTGCTACTCAGATTACCAAATACAAGGGCAGCCATTAACATTTACAACACGCAACATTATGTCAACGAACTCATGTGTATCCAAAGTGTATTCATGTCCATTCATAAGGAACGTGTCAGCACCATATGCATTCCAAGTAACTCATATTTATGCAGGATGTGGTGACCATGTACCCAGTTACAAGGTGGTTACTCTAGTCACATACATTGGACTGTATAATTAAGAGTATTTAACAAAAAGAGAGAGGATATAGTTATTATTATTTTATTATTATTATTTGTAATTATCAAATTTTAACCGTTGATTTCTGTCAATCTAACAGTTATAATTTATTAGAATTAATAATTAATTAATAAATTTGACTCAATAAATTATAACGGTTAGATTTACAGAAATCAACGGTTAAGATTTGATAATAACAAGTAATAAGAAAAAAGTAATAAATATAACCTTTCCCCCAAAAATAGTAACTAACGAAAAATACTAAAATTCAACAAAAATAAAAACTGAAATTTTAAAACTAGAAACCCAAAGTAAATTACCCAAGTGCTTGCTATAAGATATGAAATTAAAATGAAGAGTAAAGACCCAAATTGCTCCCTGACAAAAAACTCAGTGTCCAAATTAATCCCTCACAAAAATAAACTCGTTAGATAGTCCTCAACAAACTGAAACAGGACCCACGTTAGTCCTTCTGTCAATCCAAAACTCACGGTGTAATGACGGTTATGATGTGTCACGTTAAGTGACATGCTGGAGGCCACGTGGGTTGAGGAACGACGTCGTTTTGAGAGACTCATACACGTTGGTCAGTATGGTCCCTAACAGTTTTAACAAAGGGGACCAGTATGGTCCCTAACATTTTTATCGAGGTCCTTTTTAGTCCATACTAAAGTTCTGTTAACACTAGTGCCACCATTTGCTATTAACATATCAGCAATGTCATTTCCCCTTGTACATGCTAATATTAGTCATGCATAACACAATCAACTTCTGCATAATTCACACCATGACATTCTTAGTTTAGTCTTTATACATTGTTCCCATTTCCCCTTGTACATAAATATACTTTTTGTCATTGTTATTAACCAAATTCAACTATACAGTTAATAACATTAACATTACAAAAATAACTACTTGCTCTTAGTACCTTCAAGCGGGAAAGACACAAAGACACGCAGAGCCTTCAAATTTCATTATCGACAAAAAGTATGTATGTTTGATTCGAAATAAATTCAAAACAGTACATTACAATTTTCATTCCGTTCATAGCATATATATTGCTTTTCAATGTAATCAGAATATACCTCGCATATTTATGTTTAAGGTTTCTTAACTCATCGTAGGTTATGGTATTATTAGATCGTGTGAATATTGTTTTATAGACTGGAAAATTGCTTATCTTACTTCTAAATCCTACATATATTGTTACTTAAATCTCAACAGAAAATCAAAAAGTTAAAAATATCGCTCATTAATATAGCACAATTTTTATTTCAATTTCTTTGACGATGCCAAATACTTATTTTTGAACAAACAATGAATATCCAACAGAAGAAATAAATCCCTTCAATTTTATTTTATTTTAAATGGAAAAGATTAACATGGACCCAATAAAAAAATAATTGATTGATTGGTTGGGCTGGATGTATGTGGCATGGTTTGGCTTATAATGTTTAAGAACCTACGAAGTAAGAGCATGTTTTTCTCATTTGAGTTCAATCATACATCTGTTAGAAATAACAGTAGTTTGCCAGTTGTTTTGGCTGGTTGAGATTTTCTAACAGTAGCCTTAACCAAATTCAACCTCCAAGACCCCAACTTCAAGGTGATGTTGATTTTTTCATGCGTTATTTTTGTAATGTCAATGTTATTAACTGTATAGTTGAATATGGTTTAGGAAAAGAAGTCACACTGTAACTTTTTTACATGGGTGGATGATGCTACATATGATACCATGGAGCTGGAAGATTGGACAATTAACAAGCTGGAGTTGAATGCAGCTGAAATGGAGTTCAAGTTGAACTTTTTAGACATGAAGCTCAATGATGAACTGCACCTGGAGGTGAATAACCACAAAAAGAAGATTAATGAGCACTGTATAAAGATTGAAGACATATCATTGAAGATGCAGGCAGACTTTGAAAGGATTGAGAAGGAAATGATGCATGTGTGTAGGTGTGCTAGGGTGTTTGCTCGATCCATTATTGTTGTGTTTCTAGTATGTATATATCTTGCAAGTAGGCTGGAGTGAAATTTAAAATATGGTTATGTTAAGATTTGCTGGTGTAATGAATTGTTGTTCATGCAATGTATGTAGCATGTCTATACTCTAAAATGAAATACATTTACCTTATCTTTGCCCATATGTGGAGAAGATGCAGAATAATTAGAATCAACAATTAACTCTCAGTGGTGAATAACTCAAGAATGAGCGAGAAGAGGAACAATGGTGACCAGCGACGGTGAAGATGGTGCAGTGGGTGTTTGTGGTTGGTGAAGATTGGGCGGTTGGGTCTTTAGTGGTTCGTTGATGGTAATGGGTATTTTGAATATGGTGGTTTGGGCGAAGGGAACCCGTGGTTTTTCGGCGGTGGATATGGCTGAGGTATCTAGCCTAAGAAGAATAAAAGAAAGTGAGAGGGTTGGGTCACCTGTGGGTGTTCGTTGGAGTGGGTGAAATGGTCGGTGGTTCTGTGAGTTTGGCAGAAGAAGAAGGCTTCTGTGAGTTTGGCAGAAGAAGAAGGCTGCCAGTGGTGTTGTGCCTCGGTTTTGTGCGGCGGTGGAAGGTTGTTCGCTTATGGTGGTTGAGATGAGGAGTTGTAACTGGTGGTCGGTGTGGGTCTGGGTGGGAGCTCTGGGCCGATGGTGGCTATGGAGAAGATGGCTGTCAAGGTGGTTGGTGAAATAAGGTGTCTAACCGATAGGGGTTTGTGGAAGATTGGTGAGATGGGGAAGCTTAGTGGAAGATTGGTGAGGTGGGGAAGACAGGTTGGGTCTTTGGAGGTTTTGGTTCGAAGATATGGCGGTAACCATGGTGGTTACCGGCGGGTCGAAGAACGGTGGTGCTTGTCCGGTTATGGTGGTTTGTCGCGGCGGTTATGACGGTGGTGAGGAGTGGTTTCCGGTGAAGGTTGGGGTTTGAGGTTTTGTTGGTTAGGAGTGAAGAAGAAGAAGGAAAGGGGTTTATGGTAAAAAGTAAAAATAATTAAAAGATGAAAGGAAATTATGAGCTATTTGGTATCATATATAAAACATGATAATATATGCTTATATGATATTTTATGACATTTTTAGTTATTTGACATCGTCATCGTATGATATAAGTTTGGAAAAAGTTATATTTATTATCTAATTTTTTTATTACCTGTTATTAACAAATTTTAACCGTTGATTTCTGTCAATTTATAATTTATTATAAATTAATAATTAATTAATAAGTACGACTCTATAAATTATAATCGCTAAATTGACGAAAATTAACGGTTAAGATTTAGTAATAACATGTACTAAGAAAAAAGAAAAAATAGGTAGAAAGTATAATCAGTGTTATTAAAATCGGACCGGCCGGACCGGTTGGCCCCAGAAACTGGCCCATCAATCGGTTCGGTTACTACATTGGACCGCTTAAGTAATCGACCCGGCATTGACCCAGTGACCCGGTCATAAACCGCGGTTCAACCAGTACCTTAGAGTGAGGAGAGCCGTTTTCTACAACTACGCCACCATCACATGTTGAATAATTTACACCATTTAATATATTTATTATATAACTTTTAAGTTAAGAGAATTATTTTAATTATTTCAAAAATTGCATGTAATGTGGTTCAAACCCCTTGCATTAAGGATACAGAACATAACAAATACCACTAAACTACTTCAAGTTATTGTGTAGATGGCACCATTTAATATATTTATTATGGGTTCGCTTTTTCTGCAGTTACTGCAGATAAGTTATCTACAGTAAGCCCAATACGACGTCGATTTGGGGCAGAAATCATGGTGTTTTTGTAATTTTAATTTATTTCAAGGTTATGATAGTCTTTATATTTATGATTTTTTAAGATTTCAATACCAAAACGACGTCGTTTTAAGAATAAATGCAGATAACTTATCTGCAGTAACTGCATAAATATTTTCCCCATTTATTATATAATTATGTATATAATATAAATTTATATATATATATATATATATATATATATATATATATATATATATCTGGTTCATGCGGTTCAACCAGTGACCCACCGGTTGAACCATTGACTCAGTGACCCGGTACCTCGACCGGGTCAATGACCGGTCTGGTTCTAATAACATTGCGTATAACATCTCCCCATAAGCTTATATAGCAGAACTTTTTAATATATTAAAATAGTATATAATTTAATTAGACTTAAAGAGTGGGATTAGCCCGGATAAGGGATTGATGTATTAACATAATTTACCAGTGTAATTCTTAAAAATTTAATATATTATTTTAATATAATATATTAAAATAAAAATTAAATTTTCAATACATTAATTTTAAAATATTGAAGATTTTTATAAAATTAAATATCATATGACATATTTGAAAGAATTATTTAAATTCTTTATTAAAGAATATTTTGTCAAAAATATTTATTTTTATTCTATTTAGTACTATACAGTATATTATCAAATACCAAATGGTATTATCTTATAAAAATTTAATTACACCTTATACACATCAGGTATTATAACGCACAAAACGCCAAGACGACTAATAAAATGATGCATAAAGCACCACTTTTGCAAATAAGTTTCGGTGCTTTAAGCGCCCTGATTTTGCTATTTGGTGGCGCATGTTGCGCTAGATATTGAGGAAGATTTCGCACAAAAAGCATGAAATTATCAAACTTTCAATTTGGTGGCATTGTTTCCGCAAGAATCGGTGCCACGAGCATCAACGATCAATTGCTTTTTCGCGCACAAAGAGGCAAAATGCGTTCTTTGCACATACTTATCGAAAGTTTAAATTGCAGGCGCTTTTGTGTCATGATAATGCTTTCAACGTCACCTTCAACTGTTGATTTCATTCACCTGAATTTTTCACAACCAGAGTCCTACACCAAAATACATAATTTCTTACTCAAAATTAAAAATTACCCTAACATAAAAAAAAGAATTAAAATAAAATAGAAGACACGAAATAGGAAAACTCATTGGGTTATCTCTCAATTTGCTTTTGTTTTACGTCCCGAGCTTTACATGAGTAGTCTAATCCTTAGGTGAAAAAAGGGAGACAGATCTTTGGTCCGTATCAACTTGGCCTCCATGGTATAGCTTCAACATACATCCATTAACCTTGAAAGAATCATTAGTATCAATTGGAGAAATTTCAACAATACCATAAGAAAATACCTGTTTGATGAAAAAGGGTCACAACTAGCGAGACTTAAGTTAACCTGAGAACAACTTCTGACGAGAATTGTAGAGTAATACCTGTTGTCCCGGCTCAAAGTATTTTAGGATGATCTTCTTATCATGCCATCTATTTGTCTTTTCCTTATAGATTTTAGCATTCTCACACGCAGCCAACCTAAACTCATTAAGCTTATGTAATTGCAACAATCTTTTCTCATCAGCAGTTTTCAAATCAAAATTAAGAAATTTAGTTGCTCATATGGCTTTATGTTCTAATTCAACAAGAAGGTGATAAGACTTACCATATACCAATTGGAATGGTGACATACTTATGGGGGAGTCTTGAAGGCTGTCCGATATGCCCACAACGCATCGTTAAACTTCTTCGCCCAATCATTTCTTCGCCATGATAATGCTTTCAACGTCACCTTCCACTGTTGATTTCATTCACCTGAATTTTTCACAATCAGAGTCCTACACCAAAATACATAATTTCTTACTCAAAATAAAAAAAAAAGAATTAAAATAAAATAGAAGACACGAAATAGGAAAACTCATTGGGTTATCTCTCAATTAGCGTTTGTTTTACGTCCCGAGCTTTACATGAGTAGTCTAATCCTTAGGTGAAGAAAGGGGGACAGATCTTTGGTCCGTATCAACTTGGCCTCCATGATATAGCTTCAACATACATCCATTAACCTTGAAAAAATCATTAGTATCAATTGGAGAAATTTCAACAATACCATAAGAAAATACCTGTTTGATGAAAAAGGGTCACAACTAGCGAGACTTAAGTTTACCTGAGAACAACTTCTGACGAGAATTGTAGAGTAATACCTGTTGTCCCGGCTCAAAGTATTTCAGGATGATCTTCTTATCATGCCATCTATTTGTCTTTTCCTTATAGATTTTAGCATTCTCATACGCAGCCAACCTAAACTCATTAAGCTTATGTAATTGCAACAATCTTTTCTCATCAGCAGTTTTCAAATCAAAATTAAGAAATTTAGTTGCCCATATGGCTTTATGTTCTAATTCAACAAGAAGGTGATAAGACTTACCATATACCAATTGGAATGGTGATATACTTATGGGGGAGTCTTGAAGGCTGTCCGATATGCCCACAACGCATCGTCAAACTTCTTCGCCCAATCATTTCTACTATTGGTATTTTTCAATCACAAAAATTTCTACAAGACACAAAAATTTCATGAAAGTATTTTTGAGAATAAATCAGCAATTAAATTACACTTTTCATGTATTTTGGCTGAATTTAGATTAATTACTTGCTCAATTTGGCCCTTAATACACAGTGGATTAAGGGCCATCATTAAACGTCACCTAGACCATCTTTTTAAGATAAAAGACTTAGGTTCTCTTCGATTTTTCTTGGGACTTGAGGTTGCTCGTTCAAAATCACGTGTCATTCTCAACCAACGAAAGTTTGCATTAGAGTTGTTGTCTGATTTGGGTTTCCTTGCTGCTAAGTCAGCTATGACACCAATGGATTCCTCTCTCAAGCTACGTATAGAAAGAACAAGGCACCCCTTTTTATGATGCAATAACTTATAGAAGGCTTGTTGGCTGGTTACTTTACCTCACCAACTCAAGACCTGACATATCATTTCCAGTTCAATAACTTAGTCAATTCATGGCTAATGCAATGGATGTTCACTACAAAGCTACCATCAGAGTGCTTCGATATATCAAAGGTTCACCTAGTAAAGGTTCATTCTTTCCATTTGATAACAATCTTCATCCATTTGCTTTCTCTGATTCGGACTGGGCATGTTGCATAAACATCAGACGCTCCTTATCAGGTTTTTGTATTTTATTAGGCGCGATTCTAGTTTCCTGGAAATCCAAGAAGAAGAATACAATTTCTCAAAGCTCTTCCGAAGTTGAATATCGAAGTCTTGCAAGTCTGGTTTGTGAGCTTCAGTGGCTCTCCTACTTATTCAAAGATCTTTCCATGCCTCTATCACATCCTATATCATTGTTTTGTGACAACAACTCAACCATTTACTTGGCTACAACCCTGCATTTCATGAAAGTAGCAAGCACATTGATACAGATTGTCACATTGTCAGGGAAAAGATTCATCAAGGCCTTGTTCATCTTCTTCACATTCGGTCCGCAGCTCATCTAACTGATTTACTGACTAAAGCTTTACACCGCACTCAGTTTCATACCCATTTAACCAAGTTGGGAATTAAAGATATTCACCTCCTAACTAGAGAGGGGCTATTGATTAATATATCAGTTACAATGTATTTATGCATGTGTAAATATTTAGCTTCAGCAACTGCATGGATTTGTTATGTAATCGAACGCAGTTGTGTTAGTTTTACTATTCCCGCCAATACTGGACGTTTGTATCTTGTGCAGCTGGTTCTTATATATACTAGTTTGTACTCATTCAAAAATAGTTTTTCCAATTAATTTGCTTCATCAATTTGTATTAGGGATAACGTTTTCATATAGCTTTATGCATAATATGTTGGTGTTCTTTAGCATCCTTTCACAAAAGTCACCTGTACAAAAAATGGTAGAAAAACTTTTATAATGGTGGTGGAGCCAGCGTCGCAATCTAGCCTGGGCCACGTTTATTTAGCCACGTTAAAACGTGGCTAATGTTTCAAAAGTAATCTTGCAAACTAGCCACCTTGTAGTCACGTTGAAACTGTGGCTAATTTTTGAAATTTAGTCTCTTCCAAGGCCCCTCTTGCCCCAACGTGGCTCGCCACTATTTTATAAAAACCTTATAAGAATCAGAAGTATACACATTAGTTAATGATTAGAATTAAGTCTCACATTCAATATAATCAATCGTTTGGGGCAAAGACCAAAAGTATTCTTCAATTTTTTATTTTATTTTTATACATTTCTTCAACTTTTCAATGCTGCGTAGTTATTATTCACTAAAAACATTATTTGCATTATTATATATTTTACAATTTATTCTGTACCATTGTAATAGGGATTACTTCATTTGAGATGCCTTTGAAACATTATTTCAAACCAGTAAGTGTTTGCAATATTTCTTAAAACGATATTTTATTATAACAACATTTTTATGGGAAAAAAAAAATTCAGAGTGGGATTTTTTAATTTCACGTGCCAAACCACTCTAATCCAATTAAGGGATCAGCAAATGTAATAACACAAACAAGAGACTACACTGTAATTATTTTTGGTTTGCAGAAAATTATAAACTTTAATAAAAATTATAAACTACAAATTTTGCTAAAAATTAGTCACAGGATGCTAATTATAAATAGCAACTCTTTTTTTTTTTTTTTTTGTATACGACTCTTATGACGAACACAAATGAGACAATTTTGCGATTCAATCTTCATATCATTAAATAATGCATGATAATTATTCTCAACATATAAGCATTGAAAGATGCCCTGGTTGATTTAAATTTCTAGTAATTGGATATTATCCCATAGACATGATTAATACGAACTAATTAATTGACTGAAATTCACTGGAATCACAAACTCATTCCCTCCCTCAAATAGAGTCTTAGCTGCCAACCCCGTAGCTGTCTCAGTTGGATGAAACAAATCCCAAAACAAGTGATCCCTACGATCCAAACAAAGATTGGTGTTCGGGGCTTTTATGCATGGACCCTCTCCATTGAATTTTCCACTTCCGCAACATGCTGACTTTGTGTCCTTCAACCCTAAAACATTTTGAACATGATTAAAACAAAATTAAAATAATTCATACACAACCTCATTCTGTTTTTCTTTGTTCGTGCATTGACATATGAGTTATGCAATAAAATAAAAATAACTCTTCTCCCTCTCATAAGTTTATTTTGTTATAATTTAATCCTCTCAATACAATACCTAGTGTATAATATTATTTAAGTTCCTTAGACAAATTTAATTAAGTAAATAATTATCTACACATTGAATGATACAAGTCATGTGAGTAACATTAACAACACACTTGTTTTAACATTTTTTTTAATTATTGGGTGAGTTTCATGTGAATTCTACCAAATTATAATAATGAGTCTAGTTATTTAATGAAACTCATATAAAATTTATTCAATAGTATAAAGTGTGTTGAAAAGAGTGTTATTGGCATTTCTCGTATCACGAAATTGAAATTAAAAATAAAAATAATGTCTTCGAAGTTTCTAAATGTTGTATATTATTATTAAATTATTATATGGTTCTTACCGAAGGCCAATGGATCGTTTAACAAGGTCATGGTCATTGCAAAAGTGTTGGCTAGTGAGTACTCCAAATCTTCCAACTCCGAACTCAACTTTCGCAGAAGATCACGAATTGCTGAGTAGAAAGCAACAGCCAAATCATTCAGTGGTGTCACACAGTTCCCTCCATTGGCAAAACTCAAAGCGGGACAGCACCCTATGGGTGGAACACTAAGAATGCCGAATTTCCGAGCCCCTAACTCATACAGTTTCTGCAATTCACAAGCATTATTCCCAATAAATGAACAATGTCTTTCATATATACATTATTTTCATAGAATAATATTATCTTTCACATATAAATCCTCTAATGATAAATTAAATAAAATATTTTCTAATTTTTTTTAAGGGAAAATGTGACATAAAATTTATCTCCCAAAAGTTGAAGATAATTTTATCTTATAGAGAAACACTAAACCTTGATTTATTACTTTTAATTTTCTGGTATAGTTTTGCTTAATATAATCACAGTTTGTTTTTCGAAAATATTTTCAGTGCTTCCGTTGTATCAAGTACTAGGCACATGATACAAAGTAATACTTTTATACTATTTTTATTCTTATAATTATTTTCACTCATATTTTTTTTGGCAAAGGAGTAAGTACTTGTGTAATTGTGTGGTGCAAAACTTAAAGAAAATTACGAACATACCACTATATGAGAGTAATAGTTGAGTTGTATAATAGCCAAATATTCTTCCTGGCCCATATGAATGCCACTGTCATTTCCTGCAAAATCGAAGAGGTCGTTGCTTCCAACGCTGATGAGAAACAAAGCCTTCGAAACAAAACAAGCAGCTTTTGCTGGCCCCAATATCTCTCTGATATTTCCACGGACCAATGCAAATTGTTGCACTTGCTTTTCAAGGTAAACCACTTCTCCCTACAAAGATATGATTCCCTCCCAGTTTAGTTGTTTTTAATTAATTATACATATATTATAGTAGCAAATATAAAAAAAATAAATAATAATTAAGACTCTCTGAAGATTCAAAAAATTTATTATTTATACCTACATAAGTACATTGAGATTGTTACCATCAACATTTTTTTTTTTTTTTTGGTACATTGCCAGGAGGCATCCCCATTCAACCTTTTCCGAGCACCATGCTCTCGGGGTACGGCCCGTTTGGACTAGCCCCTCATTGTAACAGTGGGTGCACTAAGCTTCGCAACCGGAGAAAGGACGAGACTAATCCCCCAACTGAAGATTTTTGGCTTATCCTCTGGCCCCCAAAGATTTTCCAAGAAACTGCTTGAGGCAGGGTTTGATCCCTGCACTAAGCAATCCCTTGGGAGCTCAGCTGCCAACTACATTTCTCTTTACATTTACATTTACAATTTCAAGTTAAGAGAAGTGCATGGGTTAATAATAAAGGATACTTTTCATGATATTGTAGATTTAAACCATATTAGTGCACAAATTATCTCACGTTTAGTAAGTTAAGTAAAAATATTTGTACCAAAAAAAAAAGTGAAAATATAAGGTAAGGAGTTTAAATAAAGGGAATTAATTTTCTTATACTGTTGTTAGGGGTGTAAATGAACTAGGTCGACCTACAGGGACCTACGGTCTAGCCTATATTAGGTCAGACTTGGCTTATTATAAATATTAAAATAGAATAGGCCTAGGTATTTAAAAAAACCTATTTAGAAAATAGACTATAGGCTTTTTTTGTACATGTCAGGCCTATAAGCCTACAAGCCAGCTTATATCATATTATTTATTTTAAATAAAATAAATAAAATTATTATTTTAATAATTTTGAATAATAAAGTAATATTAGTTGAATGTTTAACAGGCTAACAGGCCTAGGCCAAGACTTTTAATTTTTAAATATAGGTCAGGTCAGACTTTTAATTTAGGGCATACACAGGCTAATAGGTCAGGACAGACCCAGTGTTTTTGACACAGGCCTGACCTATTTAAGCCAAAATCTAGCCTAGCCTATTTACATTCCTAGCTGCTGTTGACAAGACCATTTTCCATCAAATACAAATGTATGTGGGTCCCACCATTTATGTTTAAAAACAACAAAAAATAAAAACTCAAACATCGACCTCTCATGAAATACTGTTCACTATTCCTGCGGAGGAGAATAACATTTCCGTTACATATAACATTTATTTTTTGTGTATAGAAATTTGTAATGAAGTTACAAATATTTTTCGATAATGACACTGAGATTTAAATCTATAACATATTTTTTTCCTTATCCTCTGCTGATTCATGATTACACTAATTGAACATATCTTTATTAAAATAAGTTTCATGATTCATCCTTTTTTTAAAATAAATTTTCACCATTTATCAAGCCTACTCTACTCTAGATTATTACAATTAGGGAAAAGCAAAGAAATGTTAGTACTAATTACCGATTGATTGAACCCTGTTTGTCTAAGAATTCCAGATCCTCCAGACGCAAAATTTACACCATGCAGAATGTTCCTCTTGAAACTGTATTGAAGCTTTTCCAAAGCCAAAAATGGTGGTGGACTCTTCTGATAACCAAATTGTCTCGCTAGTTTCCACAGAAGAAAATAATGCAAAGTAACTCAATAAAAACATATAAACGTACAATTCCATACAATTTATATGAAAATTCATTCTTCAAATGCATTTACCAATTTGGTCAGCAGTGTTAAAGCCATTGCTGAACCTTCCAGTAGGAACTGAATGTGGAAAATCAATCCCATTGTAGGGGAAGTTGGCCTTTGCTTTAGACCTAAGAAAATTGTTGGTTCCAACATCAAAAGTGGAGTCTCCAAATATGAATAATATTGGCTTATCTTCAACCCCATGAGCTACATGCATGTAAATCATGGCCAGAGAGAAGAGAAGAAAGAAAAAGACCGAAGCATTATTATTTGCGATATCAAAACATTTATGTGTAGCAAAGGATGCCATTTTCTATGCCTTATCCCCTTGATAGAGAATCTCACACAAGAGTTCAGTTTATAAACTCTTGATACCAAATGCGAAAACCCTTGGGTTTATATAAATGTTAACAAGTCAAAAACATACAAAAAGCCAATGTTAAAATTGGGGTCATTGTCTAAAAATAAAGAAAAATAAAGACCGGCCATCTATTGTCTTTCCCTGCAGCGGGAACAGATCAGAGCAGAATCCAAAGTATATATAGTAGCTCAGTTGAGGTCAAAGAGTTGAGCATGTAAAGGTGAGAATATATGTTCGATCATCTCCAATACCATCTTTGGGAGTGTTTAAAGCCTCAATCCCATGACCTGCCCAAAATCGGACTTGATAAAGAATCTCACACAAGAGTTCAGTTTATAAACTCTTGATACCAAATGCGAAAACCCTTGGGTTTATATATATGTTAACAAGTCAAAAACATACAAAAAGCCAATGTTAAAATTGGGGTCATTGTCTAAAAAATAAAATAAAATAAAGACCGGCCATCTATTGTCTATCCTGCAGTGGGAACAGATCAGAGCAGAATCCAAAGTATATATAGTTAGCTCAGTTGACGTCAGGGAGTTGAGCATGTGGAGGTGAGAACATATGTTCGATCATCTTCATATCATATTTGGAAGTGTTTAAAGCCTTAATCCCATGACCTGCCCAAAATCGGACTAGTCGTGAAACGATGAACCGATTAAAATATCTCTAAAAAAAAATATATTCTTTTGCACATCTAACGTATTTGATTGTTTATTAATATTACAAATACAAAGACAGTTATTTTTCTGCCGGTATAAGAATAAAAAATTTTATATCAAATTTTAATCATTGATTTGCTTATCTGTAATGACTCAAATATATAATAAATCAGAACCGTTTGATATAAATAAGATCAACGACCAAGATTAAAAATGTAATTTAAACCGGTATAAAGCTATCCTAACTAGAGTTGGCAAAACAGGCTAACCCGGTTCGGCCCGACCCAACTCGCATGCAACCCGAAAAAAAGAGCCGGGCTAGGGTTGGCTCGAAAAAAAAATGAGCCAGAAAACCCAAACCCAACCCGACTCGAGTCGGGTTAGGGTTAGCTCGCGGGTTGGCTCAAAAATATGACTCGTGGGTTGGTTTGAAAAAATAGCTTGCAAGTTGGCTCGAAAATTGGCTCGCGGGTTGACTCATTTTCAGCCTATTTAAGTGACCCTGTAGTATTAATGCACCAGCTATGTGGCTTCCATAAATTTAAACAAAGGGTTACAAAATGAGAAATAAAAGCAAAATATTTTAGTTTCGAATTTTCTTCACAACAAATTTGCATCAACATCAAGAAACAATCATAACCACTTCTTACTAAGTGAGTAAGATATTTGAACCAAATAAAGTCAGCATAGCCTAACAATATAAAAATGACAGGGATGTGAGAAGATTAAGGACTTAGGTTTAGAGAAGGAAGAAAAATGATGACAGCATGTGTGAGTTTTGTCCATTTTTGTATATTATATTTTATAATTTAAAAAAAAAAACTCAACCCGCGAGCTGGCTCGTTTGACCCGCGGGTTAGTTCACTTTTTCACGAGCTGGCTCGAGTCGGGTTGGCAGCTCATTTTTTACAATCTAATCCGGCTCATTTTTGGCGAGTTAAAGCCAACCCGACGAGTTGATTCGTTTTTTCCAATCTTAATCCTAACCCTACAAATATTTCTTAAAACAATAGTCAAAATGATGTTTGGGAATTTATTTATTTATTTGATGTAAAATTGCAGTGTAATTGAGCAAAAGTTGTCAAGTTGATTAAGCAGCGACACAGGCATAATGCCAAAATTTGGAAATACAATTTTACTATGACGTGCCTGCTTTAGTTGGAGGTAGAGCGTATATCTTGTTGTATTGCTTTTGATCATGAAGCTTGCTTGTTTTCTAGCCAATGCTTTGTTTTGTTTTAACAGCATTCGAATTTGGTATTATCATGTATAACTTTCCAACGGCCCCATTACTTTAAATTAAGCTACTGGCATCTAGTTATTGACTTGCTCCATCAGCTTCAAATAACCTTTTGATTTCTTAACCTTAAATCAATTTACCTTCTCTCTCACACACACATATGCGCACCAAAATTTTATGAAATGACAAAATAATTTTAGGAGAGCCACCTCTTATAATGAATCCGATAATGTTTTCAAACCAAATTGATCGGATAATCAATAAATCGGAGGATATATTTAATTTTTTTATTAAATCATTAATCGTTTAAATATTTAAAAATAAATATAAAAAGAATAAATTATGAATTACTTTTAATTATCTTTAAACACTCCTTAGTATTCCTGTTTGGTAGTTATATCCTTGTTTAAGCGAATCTATTAAAGAAGTACTTACCTTAGAAGCAATACTACTATATTAACCCGTGCGATGCACGGGTAAAAAAGATCAAAATTTTTGTCATCCGTCGTGGTTGGTTAATCGCACTTACAAAAAACAAAAAACTGTGTTGTTATTTTGTTCTATATTTCAGGTGAAAAAAATTACAGCATTGACACAGAGCTTTGCAAATATCAACCACAAACAAAAATCTGCTATTATGAGGGATAATTAATTTTGCATACAACTACATCATAATACACCATAATACGTTATAATACACCGTGTTAACATGAGAAAGGAATATAAAAAAAAATACGTACAAATTATTGCTAACTATAATATTCATCAACAAAATCAAGGTAACAATAACACCAAGCAAATATGGATTTAAAATATCAGCTTTTACCTATAATATGAAAATGCTATTCATTCAGTGTCATTTCGTAGCAATCATTGGAGGGATGAGTTCAATACTTATTAAATATGTCATTTTTTATGTGATTTTCGTTCCTTGTGCCTACGATACATAAGGCAAAAACTCATTAAATAAGTAACACTAATATGTTAACACCCAAAAATCATAGTATCAGCAAAAAAAAAGATTGGATTAAATTTTTTTAAGGAAAAAAAAATGTTGTCTGAACGGGATTTGAATGCAACTTAATCAAATAAGCATGTATAAGTCATTTTTTTGCTTACATTGCAACAAATGCATATGAACAGAATCAAAGCAACTACACTAATTATTACAAAAAAAAAAAAAAAAACAACTATACTAATCTTTGAGATAGACTTTCATTTATTGCAATCACATTTAAAAAATATTAATAAATAATTATTATTTGCAAGGATTTGTGTCGTTAGTATTTGGAATTTTACAAATTTGTATTTACAAAAATTAAAATCAGATTTAAGAATTTCATTATAAAAGAAGAAAAATAAAATTTTAATTTAATTATAAAAATGTGTTTGTGGATCGGCCCTCCGGGCCGAGTCCAGTTTGCCACCTCTAACTATCAGCATGTAAAAGGTTTTTATATTTATCTACAAAAAAAGATTTTTATAGTTGCGTCTAGGTTTTTATATTTTATCTTAGAGATGAACTTTCATTTACTACAATCAGATTTATAAAATAATAATAAATAATTATTTTTTTTGCTAGGATTTGTGTCATTAGTCTTTAGAATTTCACAAATTTATATTTACAAAAATTGAAATCAGATTTAGTAATTTAATTATAAAAAAGAAGGATAAAATTTCAGTTAAATTATAAAAATATATTAGCGGGCCGGCAATCCGGGCCGAGCCAAGTTTTTCACCTCTAACTGTCAGCATTTTATATAAAAAATTTTCTTTCTTATATACTAAATTAAAATTTTCATTTTTATAGGTCTTAAATTTTAATAATTGTTTTTTAACAGAATGACAGACGTCATTTTTTATTTAAATGTAAAATTTAAAACTTCTTATATTAATTATACATATTTTTTATATAGTTTTTTTTCTATTTTAATTTATGACTTTTATATATTGTTTTAATTGGTTATACATGTATATTTAAAATTTTTCTGTTAATATTTTTAAAAAAAATACATGTATATTATTTTAATTGGTTATACATGTATATTTAAAAATTTCATGTTAAAGATTTTAATTTATTTTTTGTAAAGTATAAATTATACCATTTCTTATTTTTTCTTTTAAATTTGAAATTTTAAATAATTTTTATCGACTATAAATGTATTTTTATAATTTTAAATATTTTGTTTTTTAATCTATAATTTTATATTAAATTCAAATTTATTATATATATCTTTTTCCACTGCATAAATATTAAATGTTGAACTCTTTTTCCACATATCAAGTTCACATAATTTTTCATTTAATTTATTTCCAAATTTTGAATTTATTTTACAATATAAATAATTTTGTTTTTTTATGCAGCATTAATAGGGCTAACAATTATCCAAGCAAAAAATAGTGGGATATACTACAAGAAAAGTAGAGTTCTTTTTTCTCATAATATACAAAAACAAAAAAGTAATGTGACATTAAATGAGTTGTCTGTCACAATAAATGATTAACTTAATTTTCTATTGATTTTTTATTTCGATTTATAAAAGAAATATTTATTTATTTAATTTTTTATTTCCAAATCTTTTCCCACCATTCCAATTTTAAATTTAAAATTGAAATCAAAAATTTGAAGTCAATTCAGAATTTGAATTTCAAAAGAGTGAGCAATTCCAATGTAGAAAGCATTTAAAAGAGCTGAGTAATTCCAATGTACAAATCAGTGGGACATTGATTTAGTTGTCTACTACCATAAACGATTAACTTAATTTTGCATTGATTTTTTATTTTGATTTTTAAAAGAAATAATTATTTATTTAATTTTTTATTTCCAAATCGTTTCCCACCATTACAATTTAAAATTTAGAATTGAAATCCAAAACTTGAAATCAATTCAGAATTCGAATTTCAAAAGAGTGAGCAATTCCAATGTAGAAAACATTTAAAAGAGCTGTGTAATTCTAATGTACAAATCAGTGGGACATTGAATGAGTTGTCTGCCACCATAAATGATTAACTTAATTTTCCATTGATTTTTTATTTCGCTTTTT